ATTATTACTGAATATTGATGTGTAGATGTCTTCAGGCCAGTATTGTTACTAAACATGTGATGTTTGGTGCAGATTGGACATTGCATGTTTAAGTTAGTGTAAACAAAGTAATTTCCTGTTGCCAGCAGGTAGCACTATGATTATAACTGAATATTGGCCTTAAGATGTGTTCAGGCCAGGACTCTTATCAAACGTGAAGTTTGGGGCAGATCGGACATTGCATGTTTAAGTTAGTGTAAAACAAGTCATCTCCTGTTGCCAGTAGGTGGCGCTATGATAATAACTGAATATTGGCATGTAAATGTTTTCAGGCCAGGACTCTTATCAAACATGTGAAGTTTGGGGCAGACCGGACATTGCATGTTCAAGTTAGTGTAAAACAAGTCATTTCTTGTTGCCAGCAGGTGGCGCTATGATTATAATGGAATATTGGCCTTAAGATGTTTTCACCACTAGAGGTCACATTTTCAAAACAATAACAAAGGCATAGTTTGATGACGCTATGAAGGAGGATGTTCACGGATGAGGTAATGAATAAATTTTTTATTACCTGTACCCTCCATAGTTATTCAAACAGCGAATAAATTATACAGATAATGCAAGCAAAGAACATTTACACTGTCAAAGAACATTATGACTGACTTAAGTCTAGCTCGAGTTTAAGCACTCTCAAAAAAACTCCCTTTATAATCAGTAAAGCTGTCTATACACGGTTTTATGCATGAATCTCTACGTACATCTTGTTTATGATGAGAGAATTCACGTGAGAGCTGAATTCAGTCAGCGAGCGCCGTGCACTGAACAAAACCTCATCTGAACGCCTCTGATTGGCCATTGTATTCATAAGCTCAACAGACTCGTGTGTGATTGGTCATAATGCGCAACACTGTAAAAATGCATAAAAAATCATGGCGCAACACTGAGCAGATCTAAATTTAATGCTGCAGTCAACACTTTTCATTTAATTTGCATTATATTCGCGACAGCCGTAATGGATTTAGTTTAACTGTACAGCAGCATTTGTGTCTCTGTGTTGCCATAGAAACTGAGGATATGCAGACATTACGTCATTGATAGGCGACAATGACCAGGGACGAGTCATTATTTAAAATTGGAATTTCTCTGGATTTACAAATCCTTGGGAACTTTTGGAATAACAAATACACAACTGCATAAAATATATATAACGCTGTGCAAGTAGTTTTTGGATATTTTATTACGAAAATCTTACATATTGTACCTTTAAGGCCAGGACTCTTATCAAATGTGAAGTTTAGGGCAGATCAGACATTCCCCTCGTCCAAATACCCACACTTGCGGTCTTGGCCACTTGAGAGCGCGTGCGCGCGACAGGAAGCAAGTGCGCAAGACTGTCCCAGGTCTTAAAAATACCAAAGCGCAGTGCCCTTAACGCACACTAAACCCACACCATCTCGAATACCGCTCAGGAGCGGTATTCAAGGGTTAAGCCCCGTTCACACCAAGAACGATAACTATAAAGATAACGATATTAGCGTCCACATTTCAGAAAGGCGGGGCATAGAGGAGAAACAATAATGTACATTATATGGAAAATAATGTGTTTTTTTAACCTTAAACCGCATAAACACATTGCATTACATCAAATACACAAAATAAATGTTCTTTTAGCAACGTCATATGACCCCTTTAAGATACAATTTCATTGGTATGCTTCCTCCCCCACCTTTAGACACAATAACACACACGCACACGCACACACACACACGCACGCACGCACACACACGCACGCACACACACGCACACGCACGCACACACAGACATGCTCACGCTCACAGACACATGAATGCAAATACAGGAGCTATTCAGAATGGACTGGTAATGTTGGCTATCAGTATATATATGTTTGTTTGTCCAAGTGATTCTATATTTGGCACATGTAAATATTGTCACTTTCTTTACTTAGCCTGTGTTTTGTACTTATATGTTATATGTTTGGTACATGGGATTCTGTATTTGGCACATGTAAACATTGTCACATTCTTTAATTGCATAAAAAATATTCTAATGAAACAATTTAATTTTAGAGGAAATAAATGAGGTTGTCATGAAATAAAAAAATTATTCAGCTCCGTTTTAAATTAATTGAGAGGTGTATCAATGCTTGATGCTCAATAGTTGATTCATTTTCAATTTGTTCTTATCATTTTAATAAATAATATGCAAAATAAATATGAACTTCAATACATCAGTTATGTATTTTATCTTACTGACTAAAAAATAAGATAGCCACCCTGCTCTTTAAGATATCAACATCAACCATCAAAAAATCTGCTGCAGTCAACCACTAATCGTCACTCCCTATTGTAATTGCACATTGAAATATAAAGAAGTGAGAAGCGTAACAAATGAGGAGAGTGGGGACAAGATGCAGGACACACGCAGAGCAAATGGTGATGGAACACAAAAGAAGCCATGTGCTTTAACAAAAAAACACAACGTGGAGCATGAGTGTCAGGATCCCAATACCAAACATTAAAATAAAACCATGATGACCAAAGTCATAATAGGACCGTGTCAGAGATATTTGTAGTAAACAAACATAATGTTTATTTATAGAGAAACACTCCAACAGTTATTACATTAAGGCTGTTTCACTCCTACAAGCACGGCAAAGAATGTGTTTTTGTGTTGTGGATATGACCTGACCCACAGCACACGATATCTTTGGATGACTGCACAGGCAACATTTGCATGAATTAATTTGTGCTGACAATCAGTAATACATAAACCTAACCAATTAAATGATTAATTATTAGTTATTGCTTCATCATGAACACCCACAAGTCAAATGCCACTGGTTCTTATTTAACTCTCTTATGACCAATGACAATAAGAAACTGAACCAACCTAACTAAATGTAAAAGCATGCTATACAATGTGTGTTATAATGGTTCAAAATGGTTCATCAAACAAATGAATAATTACACTGTTAACTATATTCATATTGTATGTTTGTTACCGAAAGAACAGCCGAGAGCCTCCACCTGCTGCTACAGTGCTGATGTCAAGCTGTGGAGCCTGCAGGGTGATGCCAGAGATAGTTGCTTCAAACACGTGTTCATACTGTCCAGCATATCGGCTCACATCTGTAGATGTGCCTGTACAAACAAATCCATCAACAGTCTCTTTCTGACCTCAGTTCAACACCTTCTTTACAGCACACTCAGCATGAACATATACAAACTTTAAAGACAAGTGCCAGAGGCAAGATTTTTAGTGAATAACAACTTCAGTTTCAGTCATTTACTCACACAAGGCTGCAGAAGGCAAAGTTTTAAACAACATGAGGTTGAGTAAATAAGGATGGGAGTTTCATTTTCTGATGAACTATTCTTTTAAACCTTCAGGAGATCTATTTACTCATCTCTCACCTCCCATGTCAAAACCAATGACGGGCTTCTTTTCCATAAACCCATAGCATGTGACAGCATAGCCCACGACTCCTCCAGCAGGACCAGAAAGCACTGCCCGAGAGCCATAGAACTGCTCCATTGGTGTCAGCCCACCATCTGACTGCATGAATAACACATCCACATCCTGAGGGAGGGAGAAATGGGATATAAAAATTAAGGGGTACATATAAAAGCTTGATAAAATAAACCTCACAGACATACCTTCAAGCCTCCTTTAAAGCCTGCAGAGAATTCAGTGAGGTAAAGGTGTATTTTTGGTGTGAGGTAAGCATCAGCACAAACAGTGTACCCACGAGGCACTGCTCGCACCATGGGCATCACCTCACTGGAAAGAGACACTTGATTGAAACCAAGACGCTTCGCCAAAGAGCCCACAGCCTTCTCATGAGCTGCCCATCTGAAACACACACCATCAGGAATGAGAAATACGATTTCATTCAACATTATCAGATGTCTCAGTATGCTTTAAGTAATTTAGTGTTTGATATAATGTCACATTGGGCATTATGAAATGTTATCTCCACACCAACTACCAACTGGTGTTCCACAGGGCTCAGTACACAGACCACTTTTATTCCCTCTTTATACTAAGTCATCAAAGCTCATGGTAACTTCTGTCGTTCTTACACGGATGATACTCAATTAATGCAATTACCCAGGTATCCTCTCATGACACTGCACTGTGAGTTCTTGCACCTTGCAGTGTTTGTTTATATCTATGTTTTACTGTTAATTACTTTCACCTTGGTTGTAAGCTGTGTTTTGCAGATGAGCCAGCGTACTACTTAGACTAGCAGACCAGCAGGCCTCCTGTTTGCATGTATTTTTCAATTACAATTCATTTATAATTTCCATATAATTTTTAAATAGAATTTATAATTTCAAAATACAATTAATTACAACACATATGATTATAGTAAGGTGAGAGACAAGTGGAAGTGGTAATATTTAGATGTGATTATTGACATTAAATTGACAAGAATTAAAAATAAATAAATTTAAAAAATTGTAGCGATACTAGCTACACATAATTGTAAGTAATCTTAAGTAATTTAAACAAGCAATGAAACAGCAAAGTTATGTATGCACTTGATGATACTGTCACATTTGTCTACTGTGTGACAAGCTGTACTATTACTGAACCTTTGCACAGTCTCTTTAAACAAGCACTCAAAATGCTGGACAAGAAAACACATTCATACCACCAATATGACGCTACAAAATAAATATTAACTTTCTGAAATGTTGTAGTGAATTATATATATAGGCCTGCATGATTTGGCCAAAATATAAATTGTGGTTATTTTGTTACATTGTTATATATTATTTGTTATTTATACAACATTTGTACTGTGATATGACATTTCATATGAATGTGTCTCATATCACTGTTGCTGAGACATTCAGACATAAAGAACAAAGACTCTCACTCTACTGCTAATGAAAGTTACTTGGGGTGTTCATACTTGGGTTCACTCTTTACAAGAAACAACTAAAACTTACAAGTACAATACTAATATTTACGTCTTAAATTCTTCACTTTCAAATGTTAAAATTGTGGCAGAATATTAGCAAAATAACTTTTGTCCACAATAATGTTATACAAATTTAGTGTCAATAAAGTGAACCTAGTGCACACTGCATTCTCTGATACATGTTAAACTCACAGCACTTGCAGAGATGGGAGCTTGTGAGAAGCATTTACTGTGCTCCGAAAACACAGTATAAGTTGCATGGCTGTAAATGAACAGCGACATTCTTCGCTCTGGAACACGCAGTGCAACAGACTACATACTTATATCACAGCCTTTAAATTTATAATCATTAATCACAATATGACAACATATTGTATATTGTTATTTCAGATTTTTTAATAGTGCAGCCTTTGTTTGTTCAGCCATTTATTTATTTTAATATTACATTACATTCACTTTAATTAATTACTAGCTTTTCACCCCCTTGAAGGTTCCATTTGAATATCAGACCGCTGAAGGCCATGATTGACCAAACAGAAATATTCCAGAGAACCATGTAATAAATACATAATATGTATACAGTATAATGATCTATACACACGTGTAAGAATGGAGTAGCAGCACTGCTAGACTGCTGATGCCTTTGGATTGCACACGTCTCAAATCCTGCTCCACGCGCTGAAGATCCAACTCTTGCCACACCTCCAGACTTTCTCCTGTACTGCCTGAGAGAGACAGAGATTCCATGCAAGTGACATTACTGATACTTTTCTGAGGTTATATCAACCAATAAAACTTTCACATGACAAAAACATAAAATGTTAGTCAAGGTTTTAATGGCAATTTTACATTCTCTCCCTGTCTGACCATAAGAATTAAACGGACCATTTCTGTTGGCATTGGGATGTCTAGAAACAAGTAGCCTCTGTAATAATCTTGGCAATGGGGCAAGTTTCTGACTGGGCATCACATTAATGTACGTTAATGCATACATACATTTTTTGATAACTTATGGAAGTTCGGAACAAGTATTTTCTGCAGCTCAGTTTCAATGACTGCTCTTTTGCACTGAGGAGAATGTTTTGACTTCTAAAAATAAAAATAAATTTATTTGTGATAGATTTATTTTGGCAGAATAGATGTCCTTTATTACAAAATATCAAAATCTTAATCACCTGTTACTATTCGTTTAGGCTCATTTCTGGGTAGCTGACAGGAATCTTGTCTGAGAATAACCCTCTCCTCCACTTCAATCACCTCCTCATACAGAACCTCCGGCATACACACCTCCTAAAACAACAAACATGTTAATACGAACAACAACAAGACACTTGATTATCTTGGTCTTTCATCAAAGCAACTTGGAAATGGAAACAGGAATCATGGCAGACAGGGTTCTTGCAAGTTAGTTTGGGATGGCTAGTTAGTTAATACAGTTTGTTTGTGATATTCAATAATTGACTTTACAATGCCAAAAGCTGACTGAACTGCAATTTGTTAAAATAACCAACAGTAAATATTATAAAAAAATTGTGTCCTCAGGAGGTCCACAATCACATGCACAAACAACCCCATTCTTGCTACATAATTATCATCTTGAGTCAAACATAATTAAACCATTGATAAAACTGCCAACTCAAAAAAAACATTTCATTTCAACATAAATCTACATTTTATTTCATGTGGATTTTTATGTTCCCCAATAGCTTGGCACAACACCACACTATCAGAGAATTCATTATTCAACATTTCAGAGTAAAACAATTCAGAAAACGGCAAAAAGAACAAGGTAACATAAATATCAAGCCATTGTTTTGGCCAAAAGAAATTGAGACAACTTGCCCGGACCAGTCTTTGATGAAAAATACCTTTGTCCTAAGAACACAGTTCAACCTTTCTGTTAAAATCTAACTTCCATTACTATGTGCGGTTTCATTGTGTTCACTTTTTAACCAAGAGCTTTCACAAAAACTTAGACAAGAATTTTACAATTTTGCACTACAGAATTCACAAACATGATTCCAATGTTAAACCAGGTATTTGAAACCAACACACAAAACCTCTACTAGAGAAAACAAGCATTTGTGACTCAAAACTTTTTAAGATATAGACCTTGGGACAACTTCCCCACTGGACAGTTAGCCCCGGACTCTCATTTTATGGTCTTCCAAAGCTAACAAAGCATACTTGGATTACATTAATTTTGTGACCTTTGAAATAGATAATTAATGTTATAGCAGTTATTCATGTTTTCTATGTGTCTTCTACTACAGTCAGTTTTCTGCCAGGTCAACTACTGTCTTGGCAGAGCAACAGTTTGAAGGACAGCTTATCGGTAAACTCTAATGACCAAGTCTGTTCTCGCATAATTGTGTAACGTTGTGGACTGTCACTAAAAGTATGCTGCTAAATTACTAATTCTCACCAGAAGCGGTGTTTCATTTGTTAAGTAATTTTTGTCTGTTTATGTACAAAATAATCTTTGAAGTTAACTGTTTTTGTTTACTTCCGTCAATTGAAGCTTCTTACTTTTGAAGCCCTTGGATGCTTTTCCTGCCTGCACAAGTCAGTAGCAGTTGAGCGGTCTCTGTGAAGATTATTTCAAAAATATGCTGTTTTACTGAATAACCTAATGGCTGGATACAGAGTAGCATAGGAACTCTTATTATTTCTGCCATATCTGAAAGAAATAGTTAGAACAGTATGCTATTTTGAAATGGTTATGAATGAATTTTTTTAGTGAACAAATTCAAAACATTCAAGTTACTGGGATGAATCTACATCACTAGCACTACTCACCAGATCAAACAGGTTAGGTCGTGCTTGCGTGCCAATATGTAACAAGTCCCGAAATCCACGTGTCACCAGGAGTGCTGTTCTCTCGCCCTGTCGTTCCAGTAAGGCATTAGTTGCCACTGTGGTGCCCATCCGTATCCAGCCAATCTGAGAAGTGTCCAAGGCCTGATCTCGTGGAAAGCTCTGCCCCGTCTCCTGTTTAATTCATAAAACCCAACAAACAAACAGACTTTCATGCAATACTTGGGCAGAATTCTGTTCACTACATTCTTTCCTTCTATCATTTCCAGATCAAATTCATAACCACAAACTCTAAGTCCAAATATATTCATGTCTTCCTCCTCACCTGCTCCAGCACTCGGCGGATGCCCTCAGTAGGGGCGTCTCTGTAGTTCTGGGGGTCATATGACAGCAGTTTTAGGACTCTCTCTCTACCATCGGGCAAACGGGTGAACACATCTGTGAAGGTTCCTCCCCGATCAATCGCAAAATCAAACTTCCCTTTAGTTTCAGCCATGCTGGGAAACAGAATGCAACGAGCATACACAATAAAAAAAAAAGAAAAGAAAACTCTTAAAGGGTTAGTTCACCCAAAAATGAAAATTAGCCCACAAATTACTCACCCTCAAGTCATCCTAGGTGTATATGACTTTCTTCTTTCAGACGAATCCAGTAAGAGTTATATTAAAAATGGTCTTTGATCTTTCAAGCTGTTTAATGCCACTCAGCGGGTGTTGCATGCATCAGTCCAAAAGAAGTTAAATAAAAAGCGCCCATCCATAAAAAAAAAAATGTCTCACACGTCATCTGAATGGATGTGCAACGCACCTGTATTTAACGTATCGTAAACTCTAGTGTGAAGGAGCACGACTCGCCGTCGCTTTGTTTCATACGTGACATGCAGCGAGAGAGGGAGAGAGAGAATTGACGCGCTACCTATGCGCGCAACATGTAAACGATATTCTTTGTTGTATTTTGCTGTCAAAATAACGGAGTTCCTTTGGAATTCTTCAGCTTTTAAGAACTACCGCTTTCTCCGGTAGTGGGTGGAACTAATGCGCAAACGGCAATCTCATTGGCTGGCGCTCACCTATTATCGTCCCTGTTTTGATTTCAGCAAATCAGTTCGAGCGAACGCACACAACCTGATTAATATTCATGAATCCAGTAGCTCATTAATCCTTGGTGCGTTTTATATTGTTCTTATTAGTAGAATTCATATCATTATTATCTAATCAGTATTTTTGTTAGTTTTTCCCCAATTTATTTTATTTTTTTACAGAAACACTGCATGACCAAAAAAGCACCACCACCAGTCCGAAGTTCAGTTAAAATGACCCTTTAAGCTCACAAAGGCTATTTTGTGGAAACCATGATACATTAAAAGAACAGCATTTATCTGAAACAGAAAACATTATAAATATCCTCTTTACTGTCACTTTTTAGCAATTTAATGAGTCCTTGCTAAATAAAAGTATTATTGATTTTACTTACCCCAAACTTTTAAATGGTAGGATGAAATTCTGTCTTCATTTACTAATTCCCATGTCATTCCAAACATGCATGATTTTTTTTCTTCTGTGAAAGAAGACATTTTAAAAAATGTCTCAGTGTTTTTTTAACCATACAATTAAATTGAATGGGGTCCAGTATTGTTTTGAACCCAACTATCTTTCATTTTGTTGACAGAAATATTCTTCAAAATATCTTCTTTTGTGTTCCACAGAAGAAAGCAAGTTTTGTTTTTTCAATCCGAAGCATATACTTTAAAGCTGGGTTTAAATTTAAAGGGGTCATATGATGCTGCTAAAAAGAACATTATTTTGTGTATTTGGTGTAATGAAATGTGTTTGTGCAGTTTAAGGTTCAAAAAACACATTATTTTCCACATACTGTACATTATTGTTTCTCCTCTATGCCCCGCCTTTCTGAAACACGTCAATTTTTACAAAGCTCATCGTTCTGAAAAGCGAAGTGTGCTCTGATTGGCCAGCTATCCAGTGCGTTGTGATTGGCCGAATACCTTAAGCGTGTGACGGAAATGTTACGCCCCTTACCATATTGTGATGTACTGTCCAGCCGGAGCGACGAGACAAAAATATTAAAACCCATTATAAACGAGGCATTTGTTGCATCCAGTGGGGACATAATTACGGACTATAATGACGTATACTGTCTTTTTACGCGTTGCTTTGTATCACGCCGCGGAAACATAAAACCATGTCTGCATTTGTGATCGGAGAAATGACAAACAGACTAGGGCTGGGTATCGATTCAGATATCCCGATTCGATTTCGATTGTATGTGATATGACGGTAGTTTTCTCAAATGAAATGGTAAAATGCTAATGAAGTGACTCTCAGAGCAGCTGGAGATGACATTCGTGTTCATATCATCATATAGTGAGACGGCAGAAGCTGAAAACACTGCGAGCGTCATCCGCGCTTTAGTATGTGTGTAGTAAACAAAGTGCGACGCGCCATCCATTCATTCATTCATTGCGGAAATCATGGCGCCTATGCGTGATATCAAATTCTTCCGCAGATTTATAGTATTACTATAGCATTTCACCTGAGCATTGCGAATCATGCGTATGGCCATGATAAGCGCTGAATGAATGACAGGCTTTCTGTTGTAACATCGCGCAAGGTAAATAAGGGTGACATCTAGTGGAGGAGACAAATGATAAGATTCACGTTAATCAGATCTTGTTTTAAATGTGCTGAAATAAATCCCGGAAAAGATCGATTGAGAATCGATATCATTTTAAAAAACGATTAATCGAAAAATCGATTTTTTTTTTTTTGCCCAGCCCTAGTGACGACCCCGGGCTGGACCCCGCTTAGTCCACGGTGAAAGCCGATCCGCGAAGTTGATGTATTTCCTCAGCGACCAGCACGGAAATTAAATGCAATATTTGTCAAATACACAGACGTTTCAGAAACGTTTTCATGAGCAACAGAAACACTTTTTATATACTGCTTAATTCAGCGCCATCTGTTCAAGAATAAAGTTCAACGTAAATATATACTATTTAAATACTAATAAAGTGGGGGTATATATGCTTTCATGATAAACGTGACTCAATATAACGACTTATATTTGTATATTGTGACTACAGTAAAAAAGCTTTTACGGTTCTACAAACACAGATTTATGAGCAGTATTGGATTTGAATATGTTAGAAACACACGTCATTGTTGTCATGTGGTGAATTTGGCCAATGGTGAAACAGCTGTGTCGTCATCAGCACTCCTGCAGTCCCTCTGAAAAAGCTGCGCCAGCTGAGTCATCCGGCTGCTCTCGAAACGCTATCGCGGTACTTTGATGCCACACAGTGACGTGGTGTCGGCGCCGGTTCAAGTCGGACAAAATTTCTAACCGACATGCACTGCTTCAAGTCAGCCGCCGATCGGTTTGCGCGGCGCCGCATGAAGTCGAACGCACCTGTAGACATCTGGGGGCGTGTTAGAATGAGCCGTTTTAGGTAGGCGTGGTCGACTCTTAACTTTTATATTTGAATTTGAGACTTTAGTCTTTGCAACTTTACAGATCTTCTTTATGCACCAAGAGCTTGTAACACTCCAAAGAGAAAGGAACAATTGAAATCGCATCATATGACCCCTTTAAGATATCTTGCTTTGTAAATTTGGTATTTACCCATCATACATATGAAGCTTGGACATAATCTAGCTCCTTACTGCCAGAAACATCACAGTGAAAAAGAACCTTAATGACAGAAATGTTACACACATCTGGAAAAACACAAGAAATAAGGACGCTGAAAATTGAACACGGTGTGAATTCGGTGTGAGAACAAAGCAAGTGAGAAAGACTCTTCCATCTCTAAGCAAAATGAAAGAAGAAAGAAAATTATACAGGTTTGGAACGACCATTTCCAGTTAGAACGTGCTTTTGCAAATAATTAATCAATAGTTATGCTGCAGACGTGGAACGACTCTGTAAAAAAAACACTGTGTGCTGTCTGCAAGTGCTCAGCTGTTATAAACAGGCGCACATGTATACTAAAAGCGTAAAATGCAGCACAATCCCTTAAACCTTAACTAGGCTAAAGATCACCGACACGTTGCAATGTTTCCGTCTTTACATGCAGCCATGCACTATAAGACAAGTACAACATTAGTATGTTCTGCTGTACTTACACTTAAGACGCAGTAAAACAACACATGAACAGACACCTCTTCTCTTGTCGTACCGTTTACCACTACTGTGGTGAAGCGACAAACTTCACCAATCCGATGCGAGCGAAGTTCAGAGCCACCTCTGATACACTGCCCCCGCCTTCTGAGATATCACGTGATTGAGCCCGTGTTCTCCCCATAGACTGTATAAAAACAGGTTCTCCCCTCTCCCACAGGGGGCGCGTCACGCGAGTAAGGGGAGGCTGCAGACCTGAAGCAGGCAGATCTATCCAGCTATCCAGCTGCAGACCCGCAGCACCAGCAGTTTTAGAACCGCAGCCACAGAACCGGAAGTGAGGGGCGGAGCTTACGTACTTAACAGTGTAACGCCCCCTTACGGTTTTTAAGGGGTAATGTGCTTATATTACACACGATGCGTCATACTTTATGTATGCATTTATAATGATATATTAAGCATTTTAAAAACATTAATCTTGTGTAATTTAGTTGTAATTTATTTATAGTTATTAGTTTCATTGAATTATGCGAGTTATTTCCTGTTTGTGATATTAAAAATAATGTTTGAAACTTCTGGGCATTTTATATGAAATATACTTTAATCACAAGATTCAAAATATATGTTTACTCCAAAGTCAAGAACACCTGCATCATACATTTTTCTATAGGCTATGAAAACTAAAACATTTCAATAAAACACACACACACTGACACACACACACACACACACACAGCAGCATAATTTTAAAAGTAACAATCAAAATGTACACAATAATTAAATTGAAGTTTATAAAATGAACAATTCACTATTAAGCCCATTTTGTCATGACAATCCTGCATGAAAATTTACAAAATGAACAATTCACTCTTGGGCACATTTTGTCATGACAATCTTGCATAAATTCAAATCTGAATGAAGGTGGAAAG